ATATTGTGCTAATTATCAGTACTGAACCAGAAAGCAAGACAGATGCAAGCCTTTAAAATTGTGACGCTTTTTAGGGGTCAAATAGACTCAAAAAATTGTAAGAGCAGCTGCGCAGGGGTCCAAACAAATTTTTTGTCAGGGGGCCCATGATTCCTGGCGGCACCCCATAGAGGTAGGAAAAACAAGAAAATGATGGCTTAGCATTCGTTTGAATAAAAAGCTGCATCATATAACCTCAGCGACAAAGACGATGATGAGGAGATCCTGCATTTCTGAGGAGCTGAGGCCGGACAGCAGGGAGCTGAGGGTGCTGACCAGGTAGCTCTGCTTCTCACGCTTCACCGTGGGAATGCCCAGGACCATGCTCACTGTGGGAGGAGGAGAAAGGAGATGAACACTCAGTCATTGCTAAACACATGTCACAGGACCTGCTCTCATGGAATGTTCTGAAATGTAATTCCAGAGACAGAGCAGCCAAACATTGTACTCAAGTAAGAGTCGCATGACTTCAACAGCAACATAAAAGTAAAAAAGTATCCATCCAAGAAATTACTCAAGCAAGAGTAAAAAAGTATTTGGTAAAAAGTCTACTAAAGTATGGAGTAACTGATGAAATGATCAATTATTTAATATTTAAAAATTACGTCATCAGATGGACCAAAATATAAAGTTAAGTTTAAATTTTGGTGTTTTAAAGATGAAAATAACAATAAGTCATAAAGTAACAAAAAATAACAAAATCAGGCAAGAGAAAAATTTTCCAAATCAGTTTCTTTCGGTAAAACAGACTTATCAAACTTTAACAAAAACTGCAGATGTGTGTCTGTGTCTGTTAAAGTTTTGGTTAAAACATGTTTGTTTTTCATTCAGTGTGCAGAGAATCCAGAAATTTTACTCAAGAAAGAGTAGAAATACTTTATAATAAAATTACTCAAGTAGAAGTAAAAACTCCTAAAAGTAAATTCTTTGAAAAATGTTACTCAAGTAAATGTAACTAGTTGGTAACATTCTAAGTAATTCTAGTTGGTAACATTCTAAGAACTAGAAATCGATTCGAAACAAATATGAAGTTTGGATCATAAAAAAGTCCTGATACATTAGACTTTATATGGATTATGCGGTATTGTGTGTGTGTGTGTGTTGTGTGTGTGTTTGCGTGCGTGCGTGCGTGCGTGTGCGTGTGTGTGTGCATGCTCCGTACCTCCACTGCGTCCCTTCCCCAGCACCACATGAGGCACCAGGCTGTTGGGATGCTCCCTGAGGTGGGGCATGTACAAGTGAATAGTGGCCTGAGGCAGTGGCTGTCTGATCAGGTCATCCATTGGATGTTTTACTGTTGCTGCCACACAGAAAGACCAAAAACAAAAACCACAGTATTTGAAAATCATTATGATGCCTATTAAGCTTTCCAATGTCAGGCTTCTTTAATGTATCTCCAGCCCAGAAGACGTAACATTCAGACTCAGACAACCCTCAACTATAACTTTATAGTTCTGTGGCTGCTGGGAATCATCCCACAATGCATTAATCAACTCTCCATCGCCAGGAAACATAGACACTATAATTTATTCCCAAAATCCTCAGTTCTTTTCAATTTTGTTTTATTTTGTGCTTCCACACTTTAGAGTACCAACCCTCCTGGTTACAACTAAGCAAACGCTGTAAAATGACTTTATAATCACAACCTTTGTTCAACAGAATTTTTGTAGAGTGTGACATGGATGGAGTTAATCACGCAGGGAAGCAAATGTCATTATGATGCCTATTAAGCTGTTTTCCCTAAAGCCTAGAGAGACAGACTCAACTGTTTTGGTTAAAGCACCGTTCACAACTCTGCTGAACACACTCCTAACAGCCAGCATGTTAGCAGGAACTAACACTTGCTCAAGGGCATTTTACTGATGTCTAACACTGTAAGGCAGTGGCGTGCGGTCAGGGGAGGCAGGTGAGGCAGAGCCTCACCTGGGATTACGCAACCTCTCGCTAACTGCACTGTCTGCCACTCTGAGAGCATGCTCCTCCTGCCTGTACTTCGCCAATAATATAGTTAAAAAACATTTAATGTATGAACTTATTTTCCATAATTTAGCTTATGTATTTAATGTACTGTGTTTTTATTGTCACCAACTGTGTGTGTAACGTGTTTCGTGTGCTGAGGAGCGATCAGAAACGGCAGAGAACAGATTCGAGGTGAGGCAGGCAGTTCTCGTGCCTCATGGCAGGGGGCGCTCATGAACCCAGACATTGTGACTCCACAAGTGCAGAGTAAGAGATGGTAACAGCGAGCTGTCCAGCGAGCTAGCCACACAGTAGTTGTGCTGATACAGAGAGCGAGAAAGACGTGGTTTTGAGTTGCACTTTAACGGTTTCTCCCTTTGCTTTTAAGCACAGCACGAAATTAATAATATCTACATGTCTAAGTTTGATTGAGATCACGGAATCATGAATGGCATGTAAAGGAATAGCCTTTTTGCCCTCCAGCATTGTCCGCATGCGCAAAATTTTCTTATGTAAACATGTAAACATTTCTTATGTAAACTTG